AGCATGCCTTTGGAGTATATGTTTTGTATCTGGTGAATGAAATGTCTTTCAGCTTCCTGATCATCACATGAGCCACTTCCCTCTACCACCCTCTTCCACCATGGGGTTCAGCCTCATCTGAGCCTCAAGGAATGAAGCCAGCCATCTATGGATCAATACCTCTGAAACATGAGCCCTCAATAAACTTTCCTCCTCTAAAATTGTTCTTGTCAGGTCCTTTAGTCACAGCGGTGAAAAAGCTGACTAAAGCAATTGCAGACTTACATCTTCTAGAAAACCCTTCCTTAGCTCTTGATTGTGTCAGGAACACCTTTCTTGTTCCCATTTTTGCCAAGTATGTTGGTCTGTTTTCTGTTATTATAGCAAAATACCTGAGGCTAAGTACTTTATAAAGAAAAGAGGTTCACTTATCTCACAGTTTTGAAGGCTAAAAGTCTAAGATCAGGTAGCCCCAGGTGTTTGGCCTCTGGGGAGGGCCTCATGGTGATTGGCGACACACTGGTGGGAGCAAGTGCAAAGAAGTCACTAAGCCAGAGAGACTCAGGGGCCAGGCTCAGCCTTTATAATAACTGGCTCTTGTGGGAACCAACTGAGGTCCTTGAGAACTACATTAGTCCCTCCCAAGGCTGGTGCCCACAGTGACAAAACCACCTTTGACCAAGCCTCACCTCTTACAGGTAGCGCCACCCCTCAGTACCTCCACACCGGGACCAAGCCTCCCGCCATGAACGCCTGTGCAGCACCCTCAAACCACGGCACCAGGGCAGAGTGCCCGGTACAGAGCCTGGCGGGGAGGACTCTGCTTTGCACCGTCTGCCCTGCCTGGCTGTGGCTCAGCACAGGCAGAAGGCAGGTCCCCTCAAATGACCTGGACCAGATAAAAGACGCTCAGCCTACGCGGTGTTCTCCGCCTCTCCACCACCGACACCTGGGCTGGACTGCTCTGCCGTGGGACTTTGAACAGCACCCCTGGCCTCACCCACTAGAGGCTGGGTGTATGGATAGGATGTCCCCATCACGGCCAAATGCCCTTGGGGACAAAGTCGCCCCTGGTTCTGGACTTCTGATCTGTCCTGGGAATACTCAGGAGGTGACAGTCTGAGAGGAAAGAAGTGGTGGGTCTAAGGCTGTGTCCAAGGGTCCCTGTGAACGGACTCGCCTGCTCGGTGCCTGCCTTTCTCTGTGTTGCTAAATCTGTTGTCTCAGACAGAAGGTTCATTCAAAAATGCTTGTTGAATTTTAATGACAACAAAACGATCTTTAAAAAAAAAAACAAACCCATTTCTGCTCAAGTGCTGCGTCAGCACTTTGTCCCACCCTCAAGATGCCCTTGAGAAGAAAGCGAGCTTGGGGACAAACGTCTGGAAGCCGCGACGGCCCTCAGCATTTAGTACTTACCTTCTGGCAAAACCAAGTCTTTGGTTTCCTTCTAGTTTTGTAAAATATGCCAGGAGGTGTTTCTTCTTCTCTTTTGACGTACAGGTTAATTGGGAGGATCATGCCCCCATTTAGTAATACGGTGATGGAGGTGCAGATTATTTCAGGGGACCAGTGAGACAACGTGGAGGGAGAAGACACAGCTCCGTGGTGACAGTAAAGGACAGTTAGGTGCCTCCTTCCTGCAGCTCACCTCCTCCTGGTCCACTGTCCTCACTGGGACAACCTGTGGCGGTGGGTGTTGGTGGCCAGCCGTGTGGCCCCGCTGTCAGGGACTCCCTCAGCTTTGTCTCCTGGCTCATCTCCTTGGTCACACGGCCTGGCTGACTCTCCTCTGCTTGCCAAGAGAATTCTCCTTGGAAGACGACCTTGTGAGAGGAATGAGGACCTGTGACTGCCCCTGACGTCTGCTCAGTCGGTTGACATCACCACGAGGGGGGATTCTCCATGGAAAAGTCTGTGTCTTGGCCAACATTTTGCGTGCAGGTGGCCGCTTGTTTTGTGGTTGTTTTAATGCCCAAGGGTGATATGGGCCTGGTGAGAGTGACCCAGCTGTCCTGCAGCGGCCGTGGGCTCTGGGTTCTCCCTGCACGTCCGTCCCTGCTGGTGTCCAAGCAGGTGAAGCAGCACTGTGAGCCCACGTGGAGGAAGAGGAAGAAACACCTGGGGTGTGCACGGGTCTGGCTGAGCAGCTGGCAGGCAGATGCGGGACCAGCCCAGTTCTTCCCTGGGTCTTCAGGGGTGATGGCGGGTATCTCTCTAGGTTCCCTGTGGGATGTGGTTTAGGAGGCGAGCCTGCAGATAGTGAGGAGCATGCTTTTCCCTCACTACCCATGTGGCCCTGCACTTGACTTCTATGGGGGCAGACACTCCATTCCCTCTTTTGAGCGCGCAGGAGTGAACCAGTACAGGAGACCCAGGCTCGTGAGTTAGGGTGTAGCTTCTGCTCTAGTGAAAGTGTGCAGTCCGTTAAGCCAGAGCTCAGGGTCTGAGGGAGAGGGCAGTCGAACAGTCCAAGAGCAGGTAAGTCAGTGCCTTACCTTCAGCCATGCAGCTCATTGTGCATGTGATTGGGGCTAGGACACAGACATTACACTCTCAAGTCAATGTCCTTTCTATAACATTTCCTTGCAAGTCTAGTGGATTGTTTGGTAAGAGCTTTAAGTGTGGAGCCCTGAAATATTTTTGGTGTATTTGTAGTGTTGTGTAACTATCACCATAATATAAATAGAGGACATTTCCACGGGCCTCAAAGATCTCCTGTGTTCATTTGCCACCAACCTTCATTCTATGAATCCTCTCTCAATTCAAGGAAACCACTGATCTGCTCTTTCTACAGGTAGGTCTTTTATTTTTTAAGGCATTTCATGTTAATTGAATTCTATAATATGTAGACTATTCTGCCTGGCTATTTTACTTAGCATTGTGTTTTTGAGGTCTGTTCAGGTGGTAACATGAATTAGTATTTTTTTACTTTTCATTACCAAATAATAACCCACTGAATGGATAGAGCACATTTTGATCGACATCCATTTGCTTGCTGTGTGGTGTGGGGTCATTTCTTCCTTTCGCTATTGTGAATAACGCTGCTCTGCCCCTTTGTGTACAAGGCTTGGTAGGGTGGCATCCCCGGGTGTTATTGGGGCTGGGGGTTGACCCCAGGGCTTGCTCGTGCTGGACAAGCACTCTACCACTGAGCCACACCCCAGACCCTCAGCAAGATTTTACAAAGAGAATTTGCCAAGTGTTTCAAAGAGATTTCCATGCTCAGCGAAGCACAGCACCTACAGTGGCGGAGAGGAGAGTTGTGAACTCATCAGTGACGGGGGGTGACACCTGGCATCGTCACCCCCAGTGCTCATCAGGTTTGCCTGTGCGGGCAAACGTCTGCAGGCTGATGTGGGGGTTGATGTGTGGGACGAGTGACGAGGACGTGGCGGTCGGAAGGCGGATGACTTCCCGTTTCACTCACTGGAAGCCGAGGCCCCCCAGCCGACGGCCAGGCCTGCCACTTGGCGAGGACCTGGGGTGGGGTCTCTCTGGCAGAGGGACTCTGTTGTTTTGTAGAAAGGAACAGTTCTCCGCGTCAGGTTTTCCTGTGTAAGCTTTCAGATCCCACGTTTTTAAGGGACCCAGGGGCCACTCCTAAGGCTGTTCCCCTTAGGCTGGAGCTCTGAATCCACCCAGAAGAGGGACCTTAGGGTGTTTCCACTTGATGTGAAGATCAGTAGCCTCCCCGTTCTCAAGGACTGAACTCTTTCCAAGGACTGACCCATCTAAAAGCGGGAGGTGGCCATGTTACTCAGGAGAGGCGCTGTGAGTCCATCTGAAATGTGACCTTGTCCACCCATATCTTGGAAGTGTCCTCTTCCTGCCCAAAGCTTCAGGTTCCTTCTATGGGGAGTGATGACTGGGTCCAGGTCCTGGCGTCCCTGCAGGAGCCTGGGGCCAGGGGGCTGGGGTGAGCACCGAGTCAGGGAGTTTCGTCCATCATGGGGGCTACTGCAGACACATCCCTCTGGCAAGCACTTCTGTGTCTTCCACACGGTCTCGCCAGTTGCATTATTCTGCTCTGTTGAGACACTCATCTGCAAACTGAAAGCACCGTTAATGTCATCATCAACAAGCCCCAGAAGCCACGTCATGGACTTCTTTGCTGTGTAGACTGAGGCTGGCTGTTGTGAGCCTGAGAGCGATCCTCAGGTCCCTGCCAGCTGCTGCCGTCTCCACCGGGGTTAATCCACCCACCTCCCTGTAGAGCCAGTCCACAGGCTTCCAAGGCAATGAGCAGAGGTCAGTGAGCGGCAGTGGGAGGAGCTGAGGAGTAGTTGCTCTTCACTTCTCCTACCCTGGGTACCCTTGGAGAAGAGGAGAGAAGCAGCATCCTCTCCCTGGATTATGACAATATTTGCATTTACCCCAAATTTGCCATAGAAGTCTGAGGTCTCCTCTGAAGCCCATCAGTGGTCCTCTGAGCCCAGGTGTCAGGCTAAGCACTGTGAACCACACCTCTGAGGGATGTTCAGGCAGGGTGGGTTTGCAAAAGAGGGACTGAGGAACACAAAAAGTCAAGGCGGGGGACATGAAAAAGGGGCTGAGTCATTGCTCAAGAAAATTGCTTCCATTTTGCCTGAAATGGGTCTCTTGTGACCAGGGAATGGGTTTATGTCTGAGTTCCTGGCAGCTGCATCTCCTGAGTCCTGGAGACGCTGCCTGACATCCTCCCGAGTCTCTTGGTTCCTGGACTTGGTGACATTTTTTTCCCTTGGGGGAAGAATGTGTTCGAAGTTGATGTTGGGAGCCGAGAAGAGGGAGCCTTGCAGGTTGAGACTCGGTGTGTACCAGGTAAGTGCTAAGCCCTTCCCCTGCTTTCAGCTCTTACTTCCCCTCTAGCTCTAGAAGGAGGAGTCTTCAATGTCCCATCCCAGGTCACTCCACGGTGATGTTGGTCAAGAGCACCTGTCTGCAGGCTGCAAGTTGACATGGAAAGCCAGAGTGTGCACTGGTGCTGGTTGCTAAGGAAACACTGATGAGACAGGCCAACAGACACGCTGTAAAAATCCAAAATGTTAAACTGTCATTATTATATCATTATTAGTGAGCATAAACTGGACAGAAGCAAAGTCAATATTGTACTGGAAAAAGTTGTATTTGATGCATTGGAGGCTCCAAACTTAGGATAATTTCTCTCTCTTCAAATGGTTAATATTAATAATAATAATAATAATAAAAAGCAAATAGTCTTACTTACGATTCAAAGCAAAATGTAGCACCTTTCTGAGATCACTAAGGTATACACATAATACTAACATTTTTGAAAAAATACTTAGAATAATTTTTGTTTAGATCAATGTACTTAGAATAATTTTTGTTTAGATCAATGCTCAGTTTTTAAAGTAAAAAATTATGTTTTTCTTTAACTGTTAAGATGACTGATTTGTTTTGACTAATAAATTTAGTACTTTTAGTATAAAAGTAAGAATAACTACTTGCGCTTTTCTTGATTTATTCAGAAGTTGAACAAATGGGGTTGACCTAAAGAATCAAACTTAACTAGTTAACTAGTTAAATCCCTGAAATCATCTTAAAAGTATTTTTGAAATTTAAAACACTTTACACCCCTCACAGGACACATTTACAATCCAACAAGCACATTTTAAACCTCAGAACTTACTCAGCTCTTTTAAATATAGAGAAATTAAATTCTCTTAAAATTCAAACACTTTTTATAAACATGAAATTCTCTTACTGCTTTCAAACTAAAGCCACCATTCTGGAATCAACTACAAATTTCCCATTGAATCTCAAGACCAGTGTGTGTTTTCAGGACCTCGAGACAGATTGTGTGTGTGTGTGTGTGTGTGTGTGTGTGCGTGTGTATATGATGGATGTATTATTTATTCCCAAATTTGGCAGAGAAGTACTAACACCAGTCGTGAGATCAGCCTCGTTGTCTATGATTTTCTGTGCCTTCCTGATCGCAGAGTTGTTCAGACTTACATCTGAGGCTTGGTTCTAGAATATGGTCCAAGGAGCACATTCTGATCTGGGTGTCTGGACCCTGACCCAGAATCTGGAAACCTCTTCCAGAATGTTCTGCTCACAGGGTGGTGGGACTTCTCAGGGACTCACTTGGCAGGGCTCCTGGTGTTTTGTGCTTTCTCCCCACAGAAATCTGATAATTCAGGATCTTCGGACCCTGACCAATGGGCTCTCTGCTCAGTTTCCAGGGTTGTCCCTGCTTCCTGCCCATCGCCCCTGTCTGTTGCCCCCTGCAGCGGGGCTGAAGGGCTCCTCACCTGCAGACGGTGGGCCTGCTGACAGCCTTGACCTTGGACACCCTGCAGAGCACCACCCTCGCCTGGCGCACTCTGGGGGCCTCTGCATGGTCACCTCCCACCCCCAAACTCCGCTCTCCTCCTCCTCGGTCCTCAAGGTCTCCCCACTTACTGCATTTGGTTTCCTTTGAAGTGATCAAAGCTTGGTTTTCTCTTTGTTACTTGAGTTGAAAGACGGACCTTTTTAGATTATCCCACCACACCAGGGGCAGGATTGGATTGTTTTGAAAACAAAAATTCTCTGACATGGTTTTCTTTTTCCTTTTATCTTCCCTTATTTTATGCCCCTCTGATGGCTGGAGTAGACCACGTCCACCTTTCCCAGGATGGCTCACAAAGGAAACGGGTGTCTCATCTGTTCTGAGGAGCCTGGTCCTGCCACATCACATCAGTCCTCGTGCTGCTGGGGGTGTTGGCAGCTGTCCCCGGGGTGACCCTGCTTGTCCGGAGGTGACCCTGCTTGCCTCCCTGCTGGTCTCTGGACAGGCCCCAGGGAAGCCCATTTCCCAAGGTGGAGTCTGAGAAAGTCTGTGTCCATGCCAGGCGACTAAATCATCCCCACCCGGAGAGCAGCGAGGTGGGGACTCTGAGCTCAGAGTCATGGGATCAGCTTCACGTCCAGCAGCACACACCTGGATTTGAGGGAAAATGAGCACTTTGGCAGGAATAGGGCCCGTTTAAAGAGAAAAAGCACAACGGGGTGGAGGAAGAAGGATCACACGCCCGCCTTCGTCCCCCTCCTCCCCGCGAGCCGATTTTCCATCCCTCCCTGTAGAAGTCAAGATTCACGTCCAGACCTTCACCCGTCACAGATGCCACTTTCCCTGGGAGATTAATGGTCGTTGCCACGTCTCCCCGTAAGTTACCAGGCAGGCGTCTCGTTCGGGAACTTCCCAGAGATGTAGCTTTGACACCTGAGTGCGGAAATATGGGCTTGCCCACGCTCACTTCCACTTCTGAATTTTATAGCCTTTTGGAATGAAAGGCCCCTTGTCAGTCGCTGCCGTGCAAGTGATTTTTCCACTTCAAGAGTCTGGGTGATCGTTGCCAGCGTTTGCAACCTGGCTGACGGCAGGCGAGACGTTTCAAAGTTAAAACTCGTAAAGAAAGTCTGCTTCCCCCAGCAAGCATGCCATCAGCCCAGGGCGTATTCATAGGTTAGCAGAGAGAACAGACGGCTTCCTTCTCTATCTGTGACCCTGGCAAACTTAGAGGGTCACAGAATGACAGGAGTTCCCCACCTCGTCACCACAGTTGCCACAGTGGCATGTGATACACTCTTGAGTATACACAGGAACATGACATCCACATACATGTGTGTGTGAGCGTGTACACTTAGTGGACACTCTTTCATGTTGTATTGGTTGCATTATTTGTACAAGCAAACTGCAGCTTGTAGATACACCCAGA